AAATAAATATACAAGAAATTATCACAACTTTTACAATCTAGAAGGTGATGAATTATAGGTACACAATGCGAGTATAAATAAAGTAATGACAAAATGATTTATTAGGTAATGTAGAGTAGCACAACTAATAACTCAGAATTTAACGCATTTTGTTGAAGCAGTAAATTCTCCTTTATTTAGTTTAATTAAAACAGCTCTTCCAAATATTTTATAAGTTGAAGTTAATTCTGTAAAATATTGTTTACTAAGTACTCTTCGCATCTTTAAATTCTCAAAATTTCCACCGAGACTCAATTATCTCGCTCCTCCTTGTGCACTTTCTTCCCTAACGGACAGTCTATTTAAATTTTTCTTATTTTATCCGAACTCATTACAGACCAACGACTTTCTTTGTGTTTTATCTTTAATTAAATCATTATTTTCTCCCTCGGGCTGCAAGTTACTGCAAACAACAAAAACACTCTTTATTTAAAAAAGGGAGAATCTTTTTATTCGGGGAGGATGCGTAATTTAAAATCAATACTCTATTGACTTTATAATAGAGTATAAAATACATGTGTTGCTTCATAAATACTTATGTATTCATACTTCAAATGCATAAAATATATTATGTAACTGCATTACTTGGCAAAAATAAGGTTTTTATGCGAATGACTAACCTTATGGTAACGATAAAATGACCACATGTTCCGAATGTATGGACTTTGAGAGTTTACCTAATATCATTTGTTGGAACATGACAAAATATTTGATTCTGTTGATTACTTTTTCCCTGCTGTTTGACGACTTGCTTCTATAGAACTTTAAAAATAGTTTCATACAACTGTTTAAACCTAAAAAATCTCTTCTGTGTCGATCTTTCCGTTCAACATTTATGTGAGGTGTCGTATTGTTTTAAACTATCGAAGTAGTTTTTTAAACTTACTTACTTACCTATTTTATACCAGTATTATAAATTTAACTTATTATTTCTTACAATTTGAAAGATAGTATCATTGATCAAATAGTTTCTTAGTACATTTACTTAAGTAAGTATATTTCGCAGGAATAAATTAACAATTATATACCTACACAAATAATCCTCAGTAGGTGCATATAAAGAAAATGTGGGCATATCAGAAAAAGTGGTACACATTACATAACACTGAATAATAAAATATGCAGAAGAAAGAAAGCGGAATTATTTTGTCTTATAGATATAAACAAAATTTGTAATCGAGTCATTCTTGAACACAAAAACTTGATACTGTGCTTATAACTCAAGTCATATTTTAAGCAGCTGTAGACAAAAAGTTTTTTGCCAAGAATTTAAACATTGAATTTAATGCCCTTACAATAAAACGACCTCAAGAAACGTAAACAGCAAATAGTACGGTCTATCTAATATTAAAAATAAAAGGATGTAGGAGAAACGAAATACCAGACAAACATAGGTATGTAACAAAAAATAACTGATAAACTTTTTTGGTACGTACAACACCTCCCAGGACCCTCAAAGTCTAATACTAAACATTCATGTTTTATAGTGTCGTTTACGAGAAACAAGGAAGTAAGAATTGATTGCCGGTTTGCAATGGCGCCTTCGTGGAGTAAGAGCATAATTATTTAACATCCGTGCACAATTTTATAGTCAAACATGTTTAGTTTGTAAAGCAGTCGACCAATTAATTGGCTCCGACTCTGTCCCGGGAAAGAAATTTTTGGCCAATTTCTACCCATTTAATTTTCGTCAAGAAATAGCGGATCCCGTAGTCCAGAGGTGACGATATAAATAACACAGGATCTGTCAGACCAGTTCGTTTTATTGTTATATGTAAGTGAGAGCTAACACGAGAAAGCTTTCGACCGCTGGGGCGCTGAAAACGGAAATTGAACTTGCAAACTCCCCTCTAAAACGTACACATATTTTTTTCGATCGAAACTCGCTTTTCTGGACAATGTTCGTCTCGAAAACAACAATGTTTTTACTTTATGCATGAAAAACGAATGAATCATGTTTACGACTACACATATGCGCTTATTGAAATTGTTTTTCTGAGATTGCGTATGGAAATATTTCCATTCACTAAATTGATTTTTTATTGTGTGCTGGAGCTCGGAGGAAAACTTTCTTGATGGATTCTGATTCTGATCCTTTCTTATGGAATTAAATTTAGTGCTTTCATTTAGAACTAGGAAGAAGTAATAAAACTATATAACCGGCCCTAAACCTCTCATGTCAGGAGGATGCCAGCGTTATGCATAAGGAGATTTAATATGAATAACATGGCCATCAACAAGGGCCACACTCGAAAAGAATGTTTGACAGCGATAACCTACCGCCACCTAACACGTGCACGAATAAAGTGTTTTAGGGAATATTTATTTCTTATAAAGATTAAGATAAAGAATTTATACATGCAATGAATGAAATATTCGTCTCATTTTCGGTTTAGCGTTCATTACAGAAGCCATCCCCAGCACCTCTATCCTTTCATCTCTATCAAGAAATTGAACAATTTAATATTCCCAGAAGCACTCGGGCTTGTTATGCCAAGTCTGGTCCGGAATAAGATTTAATCGTAAAATGGTAGCTCTTGTGCAGATCTCTCTAAGTGCCTTTGCTTGCCTGACTTCAATCTACTTCGCTTGGATTTTATACCATTCACACTCGCTCAAAAAGCTTTTTCTCCGAAGATTTAAAAGCCGACACCAAAAAAATAAACATATATTTTACTGATTAGCTGTCATTAACGACGACAGACAGGTTGAGATTCTCGTTACCATGTTAACTTGTACCATTTGCACGGCCATTTGCAAAAACGACTGCAAGCAGGCAAGAATCTGGAACACCTTTCGATAATAAAACGAAGAATAATGCAGGTGCATGAGATGCAGGACAGGTGGGGGAGCTCTCTGATTGGATTTTTATATTAAAAGCCCAAGTACTGCACCACCGCTATTATAAACATTTTTTTTTTGACGAAAAAGTTAATTACGGACTTCATTTAGTTGTCATTAAGAAAATAATTCAGATAATATAAAGTAATGAATACTAATTCGACTATAACATAAATTAAAAGAAAAGTATAAACCCGACAAATTTTTATCCGTCTGTAATAATATTTATGTACGTACCTACACGTTTTTTCATTTATTAGTAGGTACCTGATATGTATGATAAAAATTAAAATAATTATATTTTGCTAAAATTACTCGTTAAATAAAAAAATTCACTTTATATTAAAATCGACATTAAGAAACCAGATCTTAATGGCATATCGAGTAAAATTCTTAATTACAACAGGCCATAAAAATCGTCCTTAAATTGACATTCTATTTATATATCAGCCACGTTAAGAATTGTATGTTTTTGTTCTTGTTTTGGTGTTTTTGTTTATTTTCTATTTACTTACCTTCTGGATGCTGTAGATACGTTTGCTTGCTGAACAATTCTTGTTTTTTTTTTTTTTCTACTAGGTAAATCCCATCTGTATTCTTTTTCTTTAATTAATATTTATTTTCTGTTTGTCTAATACCAAGATGCTTATTATCGTATTATGTCATTAATTCTAACCAAACTTTAGATAATGAATGACTTAACGAAAGGAAAAGGATTCAACGTTTATGTTACTAAATTAGCCTAAAAATGGATTTCAGGAAGTATTATGTATCATTTTTCCAGCTGCAAATATGTATTACATGACAAATATTGAAAAATCCTATAGATTGTACTCGTATCTACCCAATTATAATATAAGACTGATCGGTTAATTTTTTGAAACGGATAAACATCAGAATTTAGACAGCTACTTTTACGTTTGTGATCAAGTTTGAATAGTACTTATCTAGATAATTAAGATGTTATTAAATTGAGAGAAAATTTTCCCTAACGCAGAAACAATAATTTGTCATCATTTCTCTTAATAAAACAAAGTATTCGCAATTATAAATAGTGATATTACACAATCATATTCATTAGTTATTAGTAATTCAACTATACTTCGACATTCACTTTTCCGCAAAAATAAAAACCAAAAACCATTTCGCCGAATTTCCTTTATTTTGCTCGTGAACCGGGCGAAAGGGTGAAGAGAGTAAATTAAATTTCTATCTGAATTATTAAATTTAAACTCAACAGCAATGTTGTAAAATATACAGAAACAGTAAATTTTTACAGCAGGAGAGAGCGAAATTAAGTTAATTTGGGTCTTCTCGTTCGCCGCTGGAAACATTTGCCTCAGAAAAGAATCACGAAATGTCGTGATATAAAAGGGCCGTCCCTTTGCTTTAGGTATTATCAGGGTAGGCTTATAATTGATATTTGTGGTGAAGGTCCCCAACGAAATGAAATAGTTCCGGTTCAGTTGGTCTTTATCTCTGCTAAGATGTCTCCATAAACTCTGATTACTTCCAAAGTCAACGGCGGAAACAATGATAGGAAAAGTTTGGGTTTTCTTGCTCCTGGCGTCATATTTTTTTATTTTAGGGTCGTGCTTGACGCACTATTTCACTCCAATTTAAGTTTTATGCTAACCTGGAGGACAATTAGGGGAAAGGCGCATAAAAGTGCACACTTATTTTGAACTAAAAGTAATGATGTAAGTATACATACTGAATACACAAGAAAAAATAGTATGCAAACTGATTATACAGAGTAGGATAATTTTTTTTTTGTATGCTACTATGCGACTTCATTTTACCTGCAGTTGAATTTTCAACAGGATCTACCCCAATTAAACATCCTACTAAATTTTTCATTTATTAAAAATAACTCAACAAAAAAAAAATAGTTGAAAACTCTAAAATGATGGATGAGTAGTATTTTTATTCACAGTTAATGAAAAAAATGCATGCTAACCCAACTATTATTAATTTTTGACATGCGGCATAATAACTTAAAATTAAAGATGAAAATAACAATTTTATAGACAATTTTTATTTTCGATTATATTATACACTTTCTATATACTTAATTAATTAGTATTTTCTGAATTACATTACATAATTTTTTGTTACAGGCTTTGTGTTTCTTCCCAGTGGTTAAATCCAATGCTTCAAGCTGTTCGGGGACGTGGAAAGAGTTCTTCATCCCTTCGAGTTGTCTAGCAGGTGAACTAAATAAATCAAAAAAATTCCATATAATAGAGACGTGACAAAATTCATACCAACAACCATTTCTACAATACGTCCAAGCTCCGCCTTGAGATTTACTTTCTACGTGACTTTTCTAAATCTGAAAAGATTAAAAGTTTGCGCCTTGGAGCTTATTGTGTTTCCGCTACATTCGTCGTGAAAATTTAATTTATTTCGGCAAACACTATAAGTTGTAGTAAAGCTGATTTAGTGTGTGAGAATTAGGTTTCACAAAATATTAATAATTCTTTCCAGACCATGTAGTTTACAAGAGCGGCTTTGTTCGATTTGCTTTTATTGACTTTCTATACCGGAAGATGTATTTATTTGAGTAAACTGACGTATGAAGGGAAGTGGCATTAACTGAATGTTTTTTTACAGACTCTCGAGAGTGTTTCCTGGGTCGAGTCTGGCAACTTTTCACCAAGGTATACATGGTTTTGTAATAACGTAAGATATACATAGTGAATCCTACAATTATTATAAAGTCATTTTTTAAGGAATCAGGACTATTTTTTTACTGTAATGTAACGATAAAATTAATGCATAATCAACATGTTCAATAAATTTTATAAGCACTAGCTTGGAGTACTTTGTTTTAAACAGAGTTGTGTACCTGCACAATATAATGTTTTTTTTTATTGCATTTACTTATTAAAAGTATTAAGTAGGTATTACTATTATTTGGCAAATATGGCTATTATGAGTATTTTCTAAAAAAAAACAATGTTTTAGTATAATTATAGAACTGTAACAAATATTTTGTTGATTTTTTGTTAGAATGCTGGATACTTATACATAATATAAAAGATTATTTTTCAGTAATAACTAGATCAATTTCAGCAACAGAAACATACGTAAAAAGTTCATGGGTGCTTTATTTTCACGAATTATTAGCTGCTATAAAATTGAATAAAGCAATCTATTTAATATACCTAAATTTGGCTTTTTGGTGTTCAAAAAGCGGTAATTTTGATAAAAATATAATTGAAAAATTGTACAGTGTTGTAAAAGTAATCAAAGTTTTTTTCGTTCAGAAGTATGAATTTAATTTTAAATTTTTTCTTTACGAAAAAAAAAAGACAAAAAATATTAAATCTTCTCTCAAGATATTTAAAGACTTTTACTAAGGAAAAAATTCACCTTCGTGTCGTTTTTAGAATCACATTGTTGATCTTGATAAAACTCTCCAACTAGTCCATGTAACACTGAAATGATAAGGTAAATGAAAGCTAATTGCTGACTGTAAGTACTTCAAAGGTGTTGTAATTTTCTCAATACAAAAAACGTATAGGTATAAATTTAATTAATAATTGATAAAGTGGGCAGTCCACGTATTACAAATTCTATTTCTGTATTTTGAATACATATATAATTAATTTTTTATTATTTAATAATCTATCAGGATGATTTTTTGATATGTGACCAAAAAAACATCAAATTTTTTTGCTATATAACTACATAATATATTCAGTTTTAGTCAAAAAATGTCGGGTGTTTTTTGATTAATAATAATTTATTTTAAGTAATTAGTCGTGGATGATACATATTTTACATTTCGATCAATTCCCTAGATAGTACCTACACTAAAGTGCATCAATTTCTAAGTTATAAGTGTACAAGCAAAATGTTAATTGACGTCAAGTCAATATCAAAATTTAAAGTTGTATTTGACAATCACTTGCACAATAATTTTTGTAAAATTACACTTATTTGAGTTTTGAATGTTATTTTATTTTTAACAATGTTCAGATTCGAATAATAATTTGAATCAGTTTATGTTTACTCAAAGTTTACAGAACTAAGTCACTTTTTTTAAATAACTTCGAAAATTCCATTTTTCTGGTTCATGAACTTTTCTGTAAACATTTCTCTGTGTGGTATGTTACATAAAATACCCATCGTTATGATCCCAAATTAACGAATAGCAAATTTAGTAAAAACTTACAAGATGTAAGTACAAAATTTCATTAAACCAATACATTACGATTTTTACGTAAAAAAAATATGTTTTTCTAGTACTTACCTATAGCTACAACAAAACATACCTGGTTTCAACACTAGTTGAAGTGGTTCTGAAGTTAAAAAATGCATCTAATTGATCGTCTTAACAATGTACCATAAATGCTTATTAAAACGCTTTATAAAAAATTGCGCAACCATATTTTGGAAATCATTTTCTCACCATTTTCAGAGTTTTTTTTTTGTATGTATAAGGGATATTAACATTTTTTTTATTACTCTGTTGTTCACTTTCGTATAAAGAATTAAAAACATAAATAAATTTAGTCCTGATTCCACTTGGAAAGATTTTTAAACAAATGCTGTACCTACCCATTTTTTGTTAGTTTTTGTTCAGATTCACTTTGTAGGATCTATAGCATAATTTTTCCTTTCTTTGACGTTTTTGTGGTTATTTTCGCTTCTCAACAACATAACCTGCGTTGAAAGGACAACCCACCCTATCGCACCCTCCCATCTCGCAACCATGCAACAAAGCCGATGCTTTTAATCCGCCGTCGAAGTCCATCTATCGCGAATTTTATCTATTCTGTGTGCAATCTGTCCCTGGAACATTTCCATACAAGCCGATGGCGGCCAACGTAGCGCAACGAATGGGGCTCCATCCAATATATAGTTAGTGACGGGCGCCGCTCCGCAGTGTTAGCTCACACCCCGACAGGGGGGCGGAGAGATGCGCCATTCCAACCTACAACCATATCAGTCGCTGGCACAGGGCCAATATCACAGAGAAGCAAAATTACCTGATCAATCGGTCGGGTCATGAAATAAAAACCTAATTCACTCAATGTCAATAATAAGCCGGGTTTATTGCACGAAAATTCTTATAATGGGGCGGAAATGCCGTACGGACACAATTGGAGGAGTATCGACAAGTTCGTGAAAGGGATGTTTTGAATGATCTGAACTTGAAGATCGATAATAAAGTGATCAAATTTGGGGCTGCCGTGTTTGAACGTATGTAGAGTGTAATTATGCTCAAGGGTTGGTTCGGCTTGGAAAAGCGGCCGACGTTCGTAAAGCAGATAGTCTGATAAATATTACCACTACTTGCTTTTCATAAAATTAGTTGAAAACATTATGTTTAACAGCTACTTTGGAACAGAAGTCTCTCGACACCAATATTTCTAGTGTAATTTAATTTTAGTACAGAAAAATATTTCCAAGATATAGGTAGTGAGTGAAAAAAGTTTAAATCGTAAAAAACTACTAAAATGGACTAAACAAGGCAAAAACACGTAGAAAATAATTTAAATAATGCCGTATAAATTTAATAGTGATGACAGTAATAATACAATAATAATTTTTCTTTCCGTTAATGTAATTGTGAATGTTCAGAATAGGTATTCCCTATTGGATAACAAACCAAGATAAAGTTTAATTCGCAACACATTTTACAGATAGGAAGTACATATTCAATTCAAACCAACGTTCTTTTTAATTGTTAATTAAAGCTTGTTATGTTTTGATGTGGCTTAAAATGACATAACATTGAAATTACTATCAGAATATCTACGGAAGATAAATTCATCTATTTTATCCACTTTGACTTCTACTATCACCACGCTAGTTGTTTCCTTCAAATAATGGCAGCTAAGTAAACATACGTCCCACTGCCGCCAACTTTAAAAACTTTTTAAAATTGAACTGCCCCATAGATTTTCTTATTGGAGCATCCTGTATATCATATTTAAAACACAAATTGCTTTAGAATATTTTGAAAAATATTTTTGCACCTACACAAATTTTTATGCATTTTTTTCATAACACATCGTTATTAAATACCTAAACTAAAATTATTTACGTACAATATCCAAGAAATGGTGTAATTGTTTTCCCAGAAAGAAAGTTATGAAGCAGAAAATTAAAATCGTATTGTGTTAGTAGCGGAATGTATTTAGTTCATAATTGTTTATTAAATATTCAAAACAATCTTTATTTTACGTATGTAACTTTATATAATTCTTTTGAGCATTTTAGCGAAAACAGTGGAAAAAGTTCATATTTTTTATTTGCTATCATTTATTATCATTTTATCAATTTGGCAGACCTACATGCAATTTATCATTAATAACAATAATTAATTGAAACAATATAAATTGTGGGCGGTGGAATAAAATATAAAAGGGTTAGGCAACTGTGTTGGCAATTTTCGTTCAGACTGTATAGGAATTAAAATGGATAATTATTTAAAAGTTAGATAATTTGTTTTAAATGAAAAAAATGTTTATGTCGCTGTGTTGTATACTTGCAGTATTTGCAATTCTTGTTTAAAAAGTGTTTTAATTTGGACGAAAATAAATAACTTTGACAAAAATAAATAATTTCATGTAAGACATCAGATGTAGGTAAAAAATTTCGATTTTTATTATAAAGGTTTGATATTTTTACTGATATACCTATATCACATTACAAAGTCAAAACTACCATTCCAATTTCACTACGTCCAACATTTTTTTATCTTAAAACTATAAACAACGAAATTTATAGGATAAAGGTTTCTTTAGGTTACAAAAGTTAAGAGTCTATCAGAATACAATGTTATTCAGTATGAAATATTTTTGTTGTCTTGTTCTATATTTCCTAAAAATACAGTTCTCAGTTGAATGTAATGCAATTATTTCATTAGGCAGAAATATGAATAGAAAAAAAAAACCAAAAATAATAATTATAGTTAATCATCCCAGAATTTTTCAAGAAAACACAGATATAGATATGTACTTAGAACATAAAGAGCCTTATGAAAAAAAAAAGATAAGAAAACTGTGGAAAGCAAAGGGATTGATATAGTCTTTAGTAAAGCAGGACGAAATATGTTAGAAAAATGTGAATTTTCTAAAATCATTCTTTCAATTTATGTCCAAAAAGTTCCCAAAAAACAGAACGTCAGTGCTTAATAATTTAGATTTATCTGTTAAAAAAAATTTTTTCTTCTGTCTTGTACATATAGGTATACCTAACATCCTAAGAAGAACATAAAAATTTTCATGATCATCACGAAAACTCCTGTTAAGAAAGTTCTACTGTATTCATTAGTCAGATACCTAACATCCAAGACTTTCGCACACAAATTTCAGAATCATGTTCACTACTGAGCATCAAAATAATAGTAGTAGTATTTTCAACACAATTATTACTATCACTCTTATATATTGTTAACAATGTTTTGATGCGAATATAAATCTGCATGCTCAACAAATTAAGAAAAACATACACACACGTCGAAAGTACGACATACCAAACCTAATAAATATAATAGTGTGAATTCTTTTATGACAAATTTATCACCTTATTATACAGTGGAAAAATTTAAACTAAACACATATTTACGCTCACTCAACGAAAATAGTCTAAAAATAACAAAGTCTAACGTGAATAAACCTACGTATGCGCATCGTCTTTTTTTTTCTAATTTGCGATTTTACTAACGTCAAACAATAGTTAAAACTGACCGAATAACTTAGTTTTGCAATAACAAATTTTGAAGGTTACAGAAACACGCGGAACTGCTTATTAATGCCATGATTCATTTTCTTGGCAGCATAAAATGCTAAAAGCTGCCGCTGTAGGAAAAGTTTCCGTTGTTTTTGTATAATATGGCTTGTGTGTAGCCCTCTTTGTGTGCAGCAGTCGTAAGAACCCTAATCTGCTTTACCACTGACAAGTTAATGGAAGAGGGCATTTATTATATCAATATGGACTGACAAACATACGCCAGTGATTACAGCTTGGACGAAAAAAGCTGTTTCGAGAGTGTCGGGTTTCTGTATTTCATAATTAATTAGAATATTTTTATTGCGTGGGCGTGGTTGTAAAAAAGGTTCCCGATTTATTTTCCGTCGAGAAAGAGCCCCCGGTCGGAAATTAAATAAATTACGTAATTCGGTGGTATCATGGTGATTTTATCATGTTAAAGTGACAGCTCTTCAATAAAACATCCCCTATACCTGAACTTTTATGACTTCTGCCCGTGTCCAATTTTAACGGCTTAACAAGTGTCGTTTCCATTGTTGATGTCCATCGAAAGCACTTACATCAGCAGCGGAAACCTCCCCATTAACGCGAGCATTTTGTAGAATTCGATTCGCGATTATTATTAATCGAAAGAATTCGCGAGATTTATTTAATTCGCAGGCCGTCGAAATAAACCCAGGTGGATTCATCTCCCTCAATTTCGTTTTTACGTACGCTTTTCCTCGATCTGATAAAATCGCGCGAGAAGGGTTTTAAAAGGGGGCGTCTCTGCGAAATTCCGCGAAATTGCTCGATCCGCATTTTTGATATATTTTCATTCGCCAAGAACAAATAAAGGGCTTAAAATTTTCGGAATAAAATCCCCATAAAAAATAGTTTAAATATATTCAGAGCTCGGCAAAATTTCCAGCGGAACGGCAAGAAGAGTCTAATAAGAACCGCGCTCGTCCGGGACAATCACCGAAATTGGAGCAGGTTCTCGGCCATAAACCCGGCAAACGATTGCGATGTTACGTACGTCTTTGATATATTCGTGAATCGTCGTTGTGTCGGACAGCCGCTAGATCGCACGCGCGTTCCCGATCGGAGCCGACCGTGTTTTACGCGAGATACTCAAAGACTTCAGTATGTGTTTGCAACCTGTACATGTCGCTGTCAGTACGTGTGCTCATGTCGCATCGCGATCTGCTCGCGAAGTTTCAAGAGGGACTGATGCTCACTGCTCACGCCTGAGGCCGGCCCTGTGTCCGCATTTTCGATGTGTTTGGATGTGATTGTAGAGATTTATGGGGGGTCCGCACGACGGGGGCTCTAGGCAAGAATAAATACCGATAAAAGTGAGAAAAGTTACGAGGAGCAATAAATTAATTTACGGCTCATAAAAGCTCGTTTTTGTATACACATTGTGCATCGGCTGATTTATGTGCACATTCGCACCTGAAGTGTGGCCGGTTGTGTGATGGGACAGTGACGTTGGTCGAGGAGGGTTGTTCGATAGTCGATGGCCACTCGCTCATCTGGTTGCGTTTTTTTCTTCTTCCATTGACCCCGGCGCCCGCCCGCCCCCCTTCGATGCTGTGATCCCGTCTCGCGACCATCATCCTCACCATCGCGGACCCCGTGGCGTGCGCCGCGCCCACCCTGTACGACCATGTGCATCCCCCCGGATCCTCCCCAGCCACCGGAGCGGGGACTTCCGCCGGGGTGACGTGGTGGTCGATGATGAACGGCGGCATCTACGAGGAGAGCCCGCCGCCGGCGCCCCAGAGCGCCGCCACGCCGATCAGCAACAGCGGCATGACGAGCCCCGCGGCGCCTCCTCCCGCCACCACCTCCGCCACCTCCAGCTCGTCGCCGGCGAGCGTCACCAGCAACAGCGGCTCGGCGGGGCCGCTCCACATCCCCGCCAAGCGCCTGCCGTACGGGGAGTGCGCCGAGCCGGGCGTCATCCGCCACCACGGCCAGCCGTGGAACTACTCGCCCTCGGACAACCACTTCGAGCCGCCGGTGCACCACCAGTACCCCAACGCGCCCACCTACTACAACCTGGCCGACCCCGCCGCCGCCCGCGACTCGCGCAAGACAGCGCTCTTCTGGTCGCCGGCGGCGGCCGCCACCGCCGCCAACAACACCCCCGAGTACAAGTACTCGAGCGTATCGGCGGCGGGGCCCAGCGACCCCTCGGTCTCCTCCTGCCACCAGGGCTTCTCCTCGTCGTCGTGGTGCAACTACTCGGCCTACTCCTCCGCCTCCAGGCACCACGTGGACCCCCACCAGGCCGTCCCCTATCTCACGCCTGCAGATGACCGGGGGCGAGTCGCCGCCGCCGCAGCCATGGTCGCCGAGAGCAGCTTCGCCCATGCCCACGATGGGGGCTACGGACTGAGAAACTACGGACCCGAACCTGTTCCCTCCACACCGTACCCTCCACCAGGTGAGCATACGCAGCTACTACACTTGCTAGCACCGACCTCCCGCTCCACCGCGCTCGCTAAGGTGCTTTCCACAAAACCCAATTCAACTTCACACGCGCCGCCACTGCGCAGAATCCGAACACATGGTCAGCTGTGCCACAACTTGCGACCAATTTGCCACCTCATACATTTTTATTTATTTCTTTTTTTTTTTTCATACGCACTATATTTTTTTCATCCGAATTGTACCTGATGCCTCATTTGATAAAAAAAAAACATCAAAGCACGTCGTAGCAAAGCAATAACAATGGTATTACCGACGACGCTCCTACCCTTGTCTATTTTCGACATTTTCAAAATTTAGCCGAACCTTGACACTTTTGGCGTCTTTTTGGCACCTCCCGCGCCTTCCGTGCACTTGCCCCAGTAATAAATATGTGTGTCACTAGATGGCACAGAGCGGTCTAAACCGGAATATATTCTAGCGAGGGTGTCTTTCCCCTATCTATTATTATCACCGTGGCCTGGGGCGCCGAAAAACCCGTGCCCGCCGCTGGTTCTTGACCCTGCCCGAATCCACACATTTACGACCCAACTATGCAAATTTTTCTCATGATCAGTAAACAAACAATGCAAGTTGTAAAATGCAAATGACCCTCAGGTATTCGAGTATTTCGCAACCCGAGTCATAACTAATAACTCTTCATTGAAGATTTTTAAACTCTTTTATTGTCTAGGTCAGTTTTATTACATAGTAAAAGTGCTACGGCGGCAGTAGTGCCAACTGTCTGCATTCACGACCATTCATTTCCTCCTCGCCACTTGGAAGTAGCTAATGACACATAATTCGGCCACTTTTCGATCGATTATCGGGATTATTGTTTTTGCACGGTTTTATTAAAACCGTTTATTGGTTTTCGCCCACGGAAAACCGGAAGAGCTGGATTGGTCTTCATTTGTTTCACACATAGGAAAAATGACTGTTTGCGCCATCGAGGCTGGATAATGGCAATCGATTTGATTTTCTTCCACGTGGAATTGTTTCGTCTCGGCGAGAACAAATACGCGCCGTTTAGAGGGACCGGAATAACGACCGCGCGTTACTACGGCTGACGTCATTCGGTCGTCACGTGACCGCACAGCTGACTATCACTTGTCACGCACACCGCACAACTCGGTAGGCTGTGGAACGGCACTGATTTTGATGCGGGTGGAGCGGGATGCAGATGTACGAAGGACTAAGAGCAGCAAGAACCGAAAAAAAGCTGTAGAAAAAATTACAGTTACGACCCATGTGAGAGGTTTTGTACTGTGTCGGTATGTATATATAATAATAACTTTGGAAATACCATTTTTTGTGAAGCGAGCTGTCATGGTCACGATACTTTACAACCAATAACTAACTAGTGAAATTGCCTAGAAATTTAATCTTGCAGTAGGCGTCAACATGGATACTGACAATAGTCAATTTATATAATTGTACAATTATGTCTGTAACGTAAGGGGTGATTTAAAATTTAATGAACTAATCACGGCTTTTGTGTTTTCGCTAACTGTTTTCGTATCTGGTTTGCAGTGGTTTGTAAAAAAACACTACCAAGAAACGTGTCAATTAATTTTTTAATATTGTTTTAAATTAATAGTTTTTTAATTCCAATTAAAATTATTTTAGATCAGAGAGATTCATAAAAGTAAAAACCTTCTGGAACTAGTATCCCATTGTTTCCTAATTTTCAACAAATAATTTTAGCTTATTATGCAAACTATTATGAAATTTCATATTTGCTGGGTGTGTGTTAATTTAAAATTGATTTACTTGGGTTTTTCTCCACATTACACTGTTGAGAAATTTAAAAAGTTTAAGAAAGTTGAACCTATTTAATTATGTGATACGATCTTGATTAAAGCTAGCTCAAAAGACTGTGTGTCTGTTTTGATAAATTAGTTTTCCTTGGATGGTCCTGATAATTAATACTCTATTATGTTTGGAGTAAGATGTCGCATACAACGCAGATGTGACGTTGATCTGGATCAGTTTCACTCATATTACATTTTTACAGACACGTTAGTAACGATAATCTTTAGTAAAACTGCGAGAATTCAGAACATCAAATGATAATTTTAGCTTGATATTATCAAGTTAAAATTTTGTTATAAAAGTCGAAAAAGTAGCAATAAGTAGGTAAGTAATTAAAAAAATGAGCTTCTAAATAAATATACAATTCGTTCTTAAAAACCCCAAGTTATAAATATTGTAAATTATACATTTAATGGTAGTATTTTTCTGATTTTGGCATTCTTTTCAGTTCTAGCAATATCATAAGATGTTTATTTCACCGTTAAAAATAAAAATTAAAACCATGTGCTGAACAATAAATACATCATAAAAAATCCAGGAAAATCTATCTAGTTGAATGTATAGAAGTACAAGAGGGTAAAGAATTTGATTTTAAAAACCGAAAAAATAATTTGCGTTAAATAAAAAATCTATATATTGAAAATGGCGCAGGCCAAAAAAATATGATGCTTTTCTGTTAAAAGTTTTTTAACGAATGTTTTTATAAAAATTTCGCCACGAAAATAATTTGACTTTGTAATAATCACTTTGACTTACATATTGTGTTTGATTTCCTTATTTTCTTTTGTCATCTAAGGACTATTTCGCTCAGAATATTTCCACACGAAAATTTGGAACTTACGTTGTGTTTTTACGATAAAGTTATCTCCGATAATTCAATTTTGGAGAAAAAGTGTGAATTGAAGAAAAAATAAATTTTTTCGACGAAAATCATCATGATGAAATATTTTAATTCTGATTAAATTTTATTAACGGCAATCTTTTTACATAATATGTTATCGTAAAACACAATACATACTTATTACAGCCAAACATGTGTTTAAAGATAAGGAAAAGCAGTTCTTCGAGTAATGATATACTATATCATGAAAATTTTAAAATTCTCAAAGACTGCGTTGGAGGAATATTAAAGTGTTTGTAAATATACTGTAACTTGAATATCATGATAAAAAAAATACTCACTTTTTTGCGGGTTGTTGAAACATGTTTCGCTTCAATGTGATCATTTAAATTTATAACTTCTAATAATTTTCTATATAAAAATTGTTGATTTAAGTTCCACATCAAACTTTCATTAAATAGAACACGTCGTGTATTATTGTCAAATTTTATCATTTCCTTGTATACTTGTCTCTAAGTGAACTTTCTTTTGATGACATTTTGGCTGTGCTTTTCTTGGTAGTTTTTATTTAATAATATATTAATACTTCATGAATTGATTTTATTTAATTTCTATAATATTTAAATCGAAAGAAAAAAAAAATGTGTGTACTATAAAATTTTGCTGAATTTCTTCATGAACTCACATACTTTGTGAAGTTGACTAAGATCTTAAAATTGAAGCAGTAGATCAGAATAGCAAGTTAATGTGCAGTTTATAATCTTGAATGAAATGCCACTTTATGAAAAAAAAACCTGATATAGATAAGTATAATTTACAAAATTCAAAATACTATGCAAAAGTGTAGTTAAACAAACATCTGTGTACCTACCTATTTAGTCACAGTCTGTAAATAAATTGTAATTTTGTGTATTATTTTCATGCATTTATACAAGGATATTAAAAATGTTTTGTTGAAATGACAGATTTTTCTTTTTAAAAACTGCGAAACAAGCAATTTTTAAATAATAATGTTCTTAAATAAAAGTGGAATTATTTTGAAAACTGTTATGGTTAAAAAACTTCGTTGTCTTTTTTTTATCTTTCGTTGTGGAAAATTAAAATATGTAGGTAAAATTGTAGAGTTGTTTCCTTGTTAAAATGAAACGGTGATGCAAAACTTTTAAGTTTAATGCAGTAAAACTGTTGGAAAAAATGCAGTTAAAGTACCTAGTGCACTGTGTGCCGAAACAATTTTTCATTAGTGTACAAGAAATGAAGAATCTCCCAGCAGTAGATCGATGGGACAATTTATGTGTAAATTTTGAGATACAATTTTCCGCGATGATAATTTCCTAATTTTGGCAACCTTGCGTTGAAAACAGCAATTATTATTGCATGCTGCTTAATCAACGCCAATTTATGTAATTTAATTTCGTCTTTAATACGCTTCATAATATACACATGTAAGTAACCCTTATATATTAGGTATATTATGTTGTAAGAAAACTGTACTATATAAATAAAATTACGTTTGTATAGTTTGTAAGTTTTCAATAAAAATTAAATTTTTTTATCTTCTTTTTTACGTCAAGTTAATACACCTTTACAGTTTGCAAAAAAAATATGCATATTTTCAAATGGTATAAAATAAATTTTATTGCAGACCGACGTAGTCTTGCGTTTATATATATTTAGTACTCACTCATGTTGGTTTTAAATTTCCGGTATTTTTTTGAATTTTCCGAAATCCATTAAAATTTTAGACTTCACGCTGCTCTTTGAAATTTCTGTCCATGCCTTCGTATATGCCTCCAGCCCCAGCACCCAAATAGCGACTGCTTAATTGTTCACAGTTATGTGGGGATCATCCCCATCTCTTTTTTCCTCAGGTTCTCTGGGTTCGATGGGCGTGAGCGTTCCGTGCGGGACGAGCGGCAACCCCCTGGAATGGACGGGCCAAGTGACCGTCCGGAAGAAACGTAAACCCTACTCGAAATTCCAGACGCTCGAGCTGGAGAAAGAGTTCCTTTTCAACGCCTACGTTTCGAAGCAGAAGCGGTGGGAGCTGGCTCGCAACCTCAACCTGACGGAGCGGCAGGTGAAGATCTGGTTCCAGAATCGGCGGATGAAGAACAAGAAGAATTCGCAGCGGCAGGCGGCGCAGCAGCAAAATAACAACAACGCCGCCACCAACAACCAGAACCACCACGGGACGCACCACCACGCCGCGCACCACATACACGCCCAACACCACGTGGTCAACCACCACGTCTCGGCCAACGGCAGCCTGAAGCACCATCAGTGACCTATGGCCTTTTCCGGGGTTGTTTTGGGCCATCACGGGCTGGCCACCTAGGCCCCGTGCCACAGACTGTTCGAAGGGGTGTGGACTTGCGCAACCCTGGAATGAACGTTCTTTGCAGTGCCAAAGAGTTAATTAGGAAATTTAGGTATGTGAACGGACGATATGGACTTTTGGGCGTGTGCAAATTAATTTTGGTGCGAAGCACATCGTACCCGTTGTTGGGGTATCGAGATTATTGTACCTATTACTGTACGTGATGAATATTTGCAGCATGTAAGACTTCTTGTACATAAAATGTCGACTGTCGTTGTCATAGATTGTAATTCGTTGGTAAACCTTCAAAGTGTAATCAATGTTGCCTGTAGTTCAATGTGTATAGTAAATTATTGCAGGTATAGATGCTAACATTACCAGCCATAATTTCCCTGTGTTACTTAAGTTTTTATCTCCCAGTTTATGTATATATTAAATAAAAAAAATACTATTTAGGTACCTGTAAATCTGTGGCTTGTTGTATACGGTTGAGCAAAAATTTTAATTTTCGTTGACAGTTTTTTAGTTGATCTAAATATATTGCTTGGTGTAATGTCACTTACTACTGTAATATATTTTGAAAAAAAACTTCTCTAGAAATCCGAATTTTATTAATATTAACTATTAAACATGTACTAACTGACCTAAGAAATAGGTTTTCTTCGTCGCGTGTCTGTATCAACATAAAGGAATTTTTATTATTCCACCTAGCTAAAAGGAAGTGTATATAATCTCGATTTGAAAAATGTTATTTCTAATAGAAAAATAATATGTATTTTATTTTCTATCGAACCGATTTTTATTTCAATTAGAGTAAGTGAACGCAAATTGTGTTCATTACCGGCGCCAATCACGTTGCAATTTTTAAAATGATCTCTGATTGTGCGCACATGTTATACTTAGTTGACTACTTACGTTTTACTTTCAAAAATTAAGTTTGCTAATTATTTATTGACGACGTTTGCGATTAGAATTTTAAATTTATGTAATTTTTAAATCATTTTCTACCTAAATGTTTTATTATGATCTTTGTATTTTTACTTGTTGTGTTCAAAATACATATTGTTGTGTTTATGTATGTATATGTATACACATAAATATTATTAAGTATCCCCTAAATGTGTTTTATAAACATCCATTTATGTTTTGTTTTATATTGTACAATGTAAGTTACTCTATTAATAAAAAGTTCCATTATTAGGCACCTTCGTTAATAGCGGGCTGAGTCTTAAACGTTTTTCTAAATTGGTCGAACTTTTAATCGTAGTGCAGAATATGTCGGAAAATAAATAAATGACTCATTAAGGCTAATCGTACAATAGTTAACACCGTGTCTGACATCAATTCGTTACAATGCGTGACGAAATTTCATAGTTGTAAGTCATATGAGCGAACGAGATGGAGATATCGCACAATTATTGTATTCATGCGATGTAAATATACCTTGATTGTTGTTATTAACTGCGTTTATTTCATATTGAAAATTTATTTTAAAACTTCACCAAATAAAAAAATCCCATATACGACTAGTGGATAAATATTTTTTAATGAACATTTCTTTCGCACTCTCAATTCCAAAATAACCGTTGTTACGTAAATACGTACAACTTGATGTTTATATGCATCAGATCTTTTATCTCTGTCCCAAACAACGTAAGTATCGATCAGCACTCGGTCTGGAAAGGATAGCACAAAGAATTGAGGAATAATGTTGGGAGTAAAGGTAAGTAAACAGTGGATTTTTTTCTACGCGTTTCAAGTATAGAATATGATATTTTCTCACCACTCATTCATCATATTTTTGTGACAGAAAAAAATCACCGTTTAAAATTTTTTTATTAATTAATTTAATAAACCAATGAGGCTCAGTTACCTTCGAATCACTTCCTGTTTGCCAAAGACGTCATAGCTGTTATTAGCAGAAAATACACCTCTATTAAAATGCACGTCATATTATTTACGTGCATCTGAATGAATGGCACGTTCATGTTTTTTTTACTCCTACTCACGCAAAGTATTGTAAATGAAACAAATCTTTTCACCAAACAAAAAAAAATAAATTCACTGGCATTCCCTTACTAGATCAACACAAAGTGTTTTGTTTTTTATTAAATAATTTAGTAGTTTTTGTTAACTGTTTTGCATATGATTATAGTTCCAGTTCGCTGTACAATTGGGAAAAAATCAAACAAAACAATGGAATAACCTTCAAAATGCTTAAATTTGGAGGTCACATCCATTGGGAGTGGAATTTCTATTTTAAAACAAACTTATTCAAAAATCAGGTTAGATAAGTACGTTCTTACATATTGGTTATTTCACACTTGTGTGAAGGATAACTAAATTTTTTCAAAGAATACTACCAGGAAAACAGTAGGTAGTGTGTTAGCTAATCACAAAAAATAATTTTCAACTACTTATTACTACTTACTACATACACATAGCCAAAATAATTCAGCACATGATATTATAAACAGCGATGATTGTAGTTTTCTTATATAACTTGCGATAGCGGAGCAAACTGTCTTTGTGTAGATTGTTATTTAACGCAATAAAGGCACAACAAACAAAAATTATAAATACATTTTCAGCTGTTACTAAGGTTCCTTAGGTGCTTTATATCTGTTAAGTTTTATTTTGTGTCCAGTCCGAGCTACATAAACTTCGACAGAAAACGCTTCATTCGTCCGAATGTTTAAACAAAGCATATTTTAAAAGACCTAACAACGCAGGTTATAGTAATTTAAATTCCATGAACCTAATATCGTCAGCGGAAGCTCCGTGATTACCGTGATAAAACACAATCCTTTTGTGAATAGGCTTCTCAGAAGTATCATCGATGTTTCAGTTTTTTTCGTTAATAAAGTTTTAAACATGACACATTGTCTTCGTCTACCCAAATAAATGTCACATAAAATTCGAGACATTACCTGCATGTCTTTATAGATGTTCATATAGTGTAGTAGGGTCAAGTGCGTGTTGATATTTAGGTTATTGTAAGCAACGAAGACATTTTTATTTATGGTGATATTAGGTCTGTAATAGTTTTACTCAAAAGAATGTATAGTAATAAATTTCAAGATCGAGCACTTGGCCAGAACCGGACTTACAGTTTTTCAGGTGGTTTACCAGTGAATGTAAAAAATGTAAAATTGCATTTTACTGTTCTACTTACTAATCCCTGAATGTATTCACACGTACCTACATGTTAAAAAAAAAACAACCTTATTAAACTTAGAAAATTTATTTTCCGCCAATATTTGGGTTGACTCATTTCGGGTACTCGTTTATTTATGAATTAATAAAATATAAGGAAAACGTAGATTTATTTTAAGTGTAATCCATAATTACGAGTATATCATTTATATCATTAGAGAGAGAGTTAAAGAACTAAACGGTCGGCATTTTATGTCGCTCTTGAACATTGCCATTTTTTGAAGGTATTTCTACGTGAATTTTTGTGATTTTTGGTGTGTGACAGGAATCCTATGCACTTTGCCATTTGTGCAATTTTTGGCTTGCTCCTGTGTATCCTGGCTGAGATTTCCACAACTTTAGTAGTTGCTGCTGGCACGCATATCTTATCAGTGAGTTTTTCGTACCTCTATTAGTTGTTTTTTGTTGTCAGTTAATTACTCACCTCATTTACTTTACCTTTTCCATTCCGAGGTCTACCTAGTTTGTCTCGTTATAAGTCACCATAATAGGCCCTATAGGTGCGAAGAACTGTATCCCTGTTTATCCCTTTAAAATTTGTGTTTCCTTTACCGATTTATTTATATTTCAATCACGCCGGCTTACTGCACAATATGTAGTTCTGGTGTAACGCCATCTACACCCCATCTTAAATGTAGTGTTTGTAATAAATATTACCACATCAAATGTTACACTGAAGATGTGCCTGACGCTTACTCCGATGCATCTTGGGTATGCAAAGCTTGTTCCTTGTCCAACGCTTTGTCAACACCCATCACTCTATCTGCTATTGAAAACATAATTGAGAAGCAGTTTCTAAAATTTAAGGCTGATATTATGATTGAAATGTCACAAATTATAGATAGTAAACTTGTTTTAGTCAACAACAGAATGTCCGAGATCGAAAACAATATGCATAGATTGCAAACTGAAATTAATGAAATTAGAAAGTCAGCTCCAAACAACGAAGCTACCAATAACATCGATGACGTAGCTCGGGAAATCTGTGATCGAAATGAACGCAGCAAAAATGCTATTTTGTATAACATACCTGAATCCGTTGCTAATTCAGTCGAAGTCAAGGTTATGGACGATCTAAAACAAGTTGTCTCTATTGTGGAGCCTTTGGGTAAGTTTCCAAAACCAAAAAAGATTTTTCGTTTGGGTATTCCCAAACCCAATGCACCACGCCCTTTAAAGATGGTTTTCGAAGATTGTGAAGAAGTCCAATTATATTTGCGTTCGAATAAAACTAACCCCAACAAGAAATTCCACTTTCGAGCGGATCTTACTAGACTTCAAAGAGCTAAAAACTATGCGGTGATTGAAGAAATTAATCTTCGAAAATCACGGGGTGAATCAGATCTGAGGTTAATTTATAACAACAATGTTGCTCAAATCACTCGTGCTAATAAAGGAAGAAGGAGTCAACATTTAAACTGACTTCGTCACCCAATTACCTTAAATGTTCTCAGTGCTTTTACCAAAATGTTAGAGGCTTGCGATCTAAATGTGTACAATTTTTTAATTCAGTAGCTGCAAGTGAATATCATTTTATAGCAGTCACCGAGACATGGATCACACCGGATATCTCCAGTAGTGAATTATTTCCAACTAATTTTGTTATTTATCGGCAGGATCGAAATTTAGATTCTCTTAATATAACTAGAGGTGGCGGCGTTCTTCTTGCTGTCGATAGCCTCTATAACTCAGTACGTATTGATCTATCTTCTATCACAACCTTGGTTCCAAGCATTGATATTGTTGGCGTTAAAATTACGGGTAAATCAAAATTTTTAATGTTTGTAATTTATATTCCACCTACAATTGCTTTTGATGACTTCTACTTGTTTTTTGAATCCTTCATGAACTTAAATATCGTCCAGAACGACAAATTAATAATATTAGGTGCCTTCAACACTCCCTGTTTTGTAGATGGCTTAAAAAATCGATCTAGTTCTGTCCTAACTAATTTTAAAGAATTCTTCAATTTGATCCAACTTAATTGTATTTGTAACAGCTACAACAAGTATCTAGACTTAGTGTTCTCCAATATTAATTGTAAAGTAAGTAAAGGAGATTCCCCGTTAGTGATTGAAGATAAACATCACCCAGCACTGGTTGTGGACTGTTATGTAGATGATCAGTTTAAGCCCAATTTTGCGATGAACACGGAAAAATTAACATATAATTTTAAGAAAGCCAATTATCATTTAATGTACAAGCTCTTTTCAGAGACTGACTGGTCTTTCATAAACTCAATCTGTGATGTCAATCAAGCCTGCACCGGGTTTTATGACTGTATATATAAAGTATTTGAAAAGTCGGTACCAAAGTTTAAAGTTAGGCCTCCATCTCGTAAAAGTTATCCTCCTTGGTTCACTGGTGACATTATTGCCTGCATTCGTAATAAATCGATGGCACATCGTAACTACATAAGATTTAAAACGCCATACTATTATAACATCTTCAAGTCATATCGTTCCCAGCTCAACATTTTAATCGACACAGCATACAAGAATTATATTTCTAATATCGAGAACAGCGTCTCCACAAATCCAAAAAAATTTTGGGCTTTCGTACATGGCAAAAAAGGTCACTCTAAAATTCCAGGCGTAATGGAATACAATGATACCGAGCTTACATCACCGCTATCTATAGTTGAAGGATTTGCGCACTATTTTAACAGTGTTTATACCAACTCTAATCCGCTTACTTCTTCTTCCAATTCTAAAACTAGGTCGTCTGTCTTGGTTAATCTTGAAACCATATCAGAAAAGGATGTTCTTACAGCACTAAAAAGTTCTAAAGACTCTTTTACTATGGGACACGATGGTGTGCCCAGCTTCCTTTTAAAGGAATGTGCTTATGTTTTTATTAAACCTTGTTTATATTTATTTAATTTAATATTAAGGTGTGGT